GTCGTTGTCAAACAACTTTTCTGTCATACTTTCTTTTACTGTATTTGATCAATCAAAGATATGAATTTGTTATTTTATGTTATTTCTATTTCATTTTTAAATAAGCTATGAAGATATTTGAACATGTTGAAAATTTTGAGAGCAGAGGTCACACAAATCGCGATTTTCCATTTATATACAAATCTTCATTTTCCATCTTGTCACCAACGTGGGACAATCTAAACAACATTAATTTTCAATCTTCTCACCAAAGCAAACCTTTTAAAAAAATCAAAATTAAGAAAAATTATTCTAAGTTTTTGTTTTTTGCTTTTTTTTGATAAATTTTTTAATTATTTAAAATGTAATTTATAATTCAATAATATGAAATAATTAAATTACTAAACTATATAGGTTTTATAGAGTTTCATGGCTATATTATTTAATTACATTTTAATTGTTATTTGACATGTGATTTTTTATAATATAATCTCATTAAATTACCGAATAAATATTTTTTATTGAAAAAGGATAAATTGTTTTTCAAAATATTTATGTTTTATATATTTGTGTTTTATACAAAATTTATTGAGATATTAAATCTATTAAATATTAATAATGAAATTAATGTTGAAATACTAAAAATCTATTGAAATCTGGTATATACCGTAACATGACAAATTATCTATTGAAATTGAATGTATTTGTGTTTTCTAATGTAATGTAGAAAAGTGCAATCTTTTTAAATAACTAAATATCTTAAATCAATATTTGATTTACAAAATATTAGTATTATTCAATTGAAAAATATATGGCCATGGGCGGACCTACTTAGGTGTCATGGGTGGCACGTGCCACCGTATCGTTTATCCGCCGAAGGGTAAAAAATTTAGGTTTCGTGAACGGTACAACCGTATTAATTTGTTGTGTGCCACCGTATGTATTTTGAAACTATAATGAAAACAAGTTTTATTTGGTAGAGTTGGTTTGCAAGGTTTTTATTCCACCCCATACCCACGTCCGAATCTGTTAGTGTCATTTTCTTAGTCAAACGATGCCACTGTTTGAAAAAAAATCCGTATATTTGTTTCTTATAATCAAACGGTGTCACCGTTTGAAAAAAATTTCCTATATTTCTTATGGTCAAATGGTGCCACCATTTAGAAAAATTCTGGGTCCGTCCCTGAATATGGCCATTTATATTTTTACAACAAAAGATACTTTACAAATATGGCCACCCTCCTTTTACTTTATTCAATGGATAGTGTTTGTTCTCTTTCATTTTTCATTTTGCGTTCTTGATAAAACTAGGAATTTGATTTCGTTTTATGATTACAGATCATATTTGCCCTTGGAAAGGGTTTCAAATGATGATAATTGTCGGCGGGATATTCACCGAAAATGGTGACAGAAGAAAATGACAATAATTGTCTGGGGATTTTTTTTCTTTCTAATAGGCTTGTAATATTTATTTTTATTTCCACCTTGTATTTATTTTTTTGGGTAAGCAATATTTTTTTATTTTCTTTCTCTTCCAACACATTTCA